CATTTTTTAATTCCGCCTCTTTACCATATTTCAGGGCCATATTGTTGTCAGATTTTATCAATGCTGTTATTGCTTCTTTGAACAGTTACAAAATTTTGAGTCAGTATTTTGAAGAGTTCGCGGAGCCCCTGGGTTTCTCTCGCGGAGCCCTGGGGCTCCGTACGGAGCACTTTGAGAACCTATGTTCTAGGGGTCTTTATCAAATAACTTGCCAGGCCAGTATTGGAATAATGGTTGTTCTACCGTAGTACTGTAGTATATTACTTAACCCTGAAATGCCATTCTTGCGTGTGTGTTTTTACTTTATATTTTTCATACGTAATGTATTTAAAGTACGGTGAAAAAATAAATACTGATTACTGCTTTGTTTAGCATATAAGCTCGACCTACCTATTTGTGCTGAATTCATAAATTCCCATCTCCATTCCAAGACCACTCTGAAATCGTTCCAGCGCTCCTTTCACATAACTCCTCTCATGTTCAACAGAGGTGGTCGTTTTTACCCAAGGTAACCAAGCTTCCAAGTGTTGGCGATTTTTATCCAAGAGTGAGAATGCTTTTGCTGTATCTTCTGCAGGACATAAAACTTTTAGTTTCATGCGATCACTGACAAAAATGGAGTCCATTTTGCTCGGCAAGTCGCTGTCGGAACGAATTTCCCAAAATGTAATTAATTTATACGCGTTATACAGTTATATGTAGTCTACTCAAGTACGCTACTTTGTATAATGATTATGTTATGGCGCAACAAGCTAAAACTGAAAAATAAAAAATCTGATGCAATAAGGTGAATTATACTTCCGTAAATATTTAACATTCGTCCTGTGATAAATAAAAAATGCAATGTCAAATGAAACCCAAAGTTATACCGATACCTTATAGACGATATATGAAATTTCACATGCCTAATGTTTGAGTGTAACGTTAAATGGTAGCAAGCTCATGACTGCTGTCTTAGAGGACACCATTATTTTCCGACGCAAATTATACAAACAGACATATAGGATAGGATAGGATTTACATATTTATCCCGGGGGAGAGGAAAGCCGATAAGACGGCTTATCCATATGGCGAACCACGGCCTCTCGTCCGGTTACCATTCCAAGTCGGGTATGGGATTAGTTTTTTACTGTATTGTTTGTTTTCGGAAGCATGGACAGTTATATAACTGTATAATAATGTATTGGTATCTACATGGCCTAGCACTGCTGTAATGTCAGAAAGTAACTGTACGATTAAGCTATTTTTGATTCCGTATTTGTAAATCGATTATTCGCTTCGCTTTTATACCTGTATACCGTCTTGGTGTTAATTACGGTACCGTTGGGCTTGATCACGGGCATCGTTGTTGAATAATCAGAAAACTATTGGCTTTCCTCCACCCTGAAATGTCGTTTGCATTGTTAGACATTCTGTATTGTACAAAGTGGATTTTCATTCATGCATACCGGTAATGGGGGAAATACTATGAATTAGTGACAGATTTGGGCATGTCAGCGTGATTGAATTCAAATACAGATATACGGTAAATTACGATATCTTATCTCTCTATGTCGCTATGCACTGCTCATTCCACGTTTCAGAAAGAAATTACCGTATACAATCTAGGAATGCTCGCCACCATGATTCCTTTGACAGTTTGACCAGGTACACCGTTACTTTTCAGCAGTTTGCAGGTTTGAGGTCCTAGGGTTGAAACAGTTTCTTTACTCAAATTTGATTTTGTTTAACTTAATTTCTCATCAACATATTCTAATATATTGCTTTCTTACCAAGGGGTCAATGTGTTATGTCAGTATGTGAATAACTAAGTAATATTGTTAATAAAAAGTATGTCGCACTACTGTGGATACAGGGATACCCATTCTGTCATTGCTGATGCTTGAAATGCTCAATTTGGCGGAATGTCCTGTCAACTCCCAGGCCCAGGAACAGTGCAAAGTTTCATACATCTGTACAGGCAAGAAAACTGACTTCTATCACATTACATGTGTGGTTGTGTCTGATTATCGAGACATTGCACTAGCTTGGTATCTCAGTTTAATGCTCATTGATTGTTTATATAAAGTGTGCTGAACGGAGGTTGCTACATGGACATATCTGCATATTGAGGGAGGTTTAAGTGTATTAATAGTTTTTGCTAATTCTCTATTTATCGAAATGGATTTGAAGGAAAATATATCAGCTCATGAAATTGCATTGGCTCGAAAGCTTAAATCATACTGCACACCTTTTGGGGATGAAATAAAGTCAAAACTACGTGAATCAACTGAAATTTTATATGAAATGGGAAAAATTTACCTTGAAAAAGCTAAAATCACTCAAGGTATGCTTCAAAAACTGAATTTTATAAAATGTTCTGCCTTGTTAAATGGTGTGATTGTTCGATTCAAAATACTTAACAACGTTCTTGGAACATTGAACACAATTGAAACCTTGAGGGAGATGAATATAATGCTGATTGAGGCATCAAATGCTAAAGACGCTTCCTTCGACTTGTACAAGATTTCAAAAGATGTTTCTGATTGGTTGCAATGTTTACGTAAAACAGAAAAAACTGATTTGGCCAAATTATCAACCTCTAATGAAGAAGATTTAACAGATGTTGGTTGGCAAGACTTGCAGATACATCACACTAAAATTTATGAAATTAGGTCAATGATGGAGAGAAATACTCGGAATTACAAAGAAATTATGCATTTCGTGTCTGAGAAATGTGTACAAATCCTTGGAGAAGCCCCATGTAAATTCACTGTTGTTGGCTTGGGATCTCTTGCAAGAGATGAAATCACTTTATACTCAGATTTTGAACATGTTATTATACTTCAAGAGGGGATTCAATATTCTTCCGATTATCACAACGTTCGAGACTACTTTCGCTGGTTTGCTGTTATATTTCAGGTTATTATAATTGGAATCGGTGAAACTTTCATTCGAAGTGTTGGAGTAAAAAGTATAAATGACTTATACTCAGGAGACAAGTCGAAAAATTGGTATTATGATGTATTTACTCCAAGTGGTGTTTCGTTCGATGGTAGAGTACCTCATTCATGTAACACTCCTTTAGGAAGACAAGAGCCAACTGAAAAATATACCCATGTCGTAGAGCTTATACAACCTGTAATGGTAATGGTTACATTTTTACTATCTGAATCACATTTGAAAAATGGGTATTATTTGAAAGATTTATTAGCGCGTACATGCTTCGTATATGGAGATGAAAATGTTTACAAACTATTTGACAATGTTTCTAAATGGATCTTGGATGCACAACGATTATCTAAAGAGGAATTCTCTAAAAGTCTTCAAGAAAATATTAATATTAAACTTCAAGGGAAGTTTTTTGTGATATCTGGAACGTATAATTATTTACAGGATGTAAAACAAATGTTTTATCGGCCTTTAACTGCATTGTTGTCTTGTGTTGACAGACTACAAAATTTTCATTCTACTACGACATGGGACACCATTAGTGCGTTGATGAAGTCTGAAATAATCTCAAATGGGGGCTTCAATAAACTCCGTTTTGCTCTTGCAATTGCTTGTGAACTCAGGCTTAAACTATACTCTACTTTTGGAAACCAGCGACAGAAATTGAGCCAGTCCGAGGTTGTTCATTTAGTTGGGAAGCAAAACGCACTTCATTGTGCGCTGAATTATGCTAAATTCCATAGTTTTGTCAGACCGTTAATATATCCTGATGAAATTGGGACAAAAGTACCCGAACGTTTAGTTCCTTTTTTTGACCAATCAGTATTGGTATCTTTTTATGCGCTGGGTTATTGGGAAGACGCTGCAAAAGTTTTGTTGAAAATGTTGGAAATTCTCGAACAAGATGATCATGGAGTTAAAAATGTGAATTCTTCGGAAGTGCGTTACAATTTAGCATCCCTTTATTCAAGTCTTTATGAGCACAGGAAATCATCACACAAAGAAAGAGTAGAACTGTTGAATAAAGTTGAACATCAGTTATCTTACTTGGAAAATGATTCCTCTATACAATATGACGTTACTCTGTTGCTTAGCAATGTCTATTTTCGTCGTCAAATGTATGAAAAAGTGGTGGAAATTGTGGAAAAAAATTCTATTGAGTTTAAAAGAAACCTCAACCATCAACTTCTTTATTTGATTTCTATGTTGGAATGTCGCACTCCAGAAATTGTACTCGAGTTTTGTTGTAAAGGCTTGTCCGAAACAAATGATAATATTTCTCAAATGTGTTTCGAATTTGGCCGATCGTTAGCTAAAGTTAAAATGAAAAAAGAGTTGGAAAAGGGTGAATTTTTTCATTTGGTTTCAAAAGCTGAGGAGAATATTGCCAAAATTCAAGAACAACATATTCCTTTACTTTTTGGAATGCTGTATTATATTCCAAGCCATAGTAGAAAATGGGATGATACACTTTCAATTTTGAATCTTGCAGATAGAGTTCTTGAATCTCTGCTTATTTCAGTGGATCCTTTATCGATAAATGATGAAGTTTATCTCATGTGTGTTTTGGAATGTTATACGCAAAAGTTCAACAAAGAGAAAAATAATTTTAGAAAACTCGATTACGTTTTAAAGATACTAACAGCTTATCAAGAATTTGTCTCTCGTTCTGCATTTATTACTTTGCCCGAGAAATATATTACAACATACTATATAACTTCATGGGCTGCGGTTGCATTTATGCCTGAAGATGTCCTCGAGTCATACTTTCCTGAAATTTCAAAAGTTATATCACAGACTCCTGAGGACTTAAGTAATATGCATACAGTTTCCATTGATCAAGCAAGGATTATTTTCAAAATTTTATTCAGCTATGAGGAACGAGTAAGAAATGGGAAACTTTTTGAATTATGTCGTGAAATGGTTTTGGTGTTATCACATTTACAAAAGGACCTATGTCATCAGTTGTATAACGAATGGGTGACATTACTTCGAGATCGTGTCTGTTCGAAATTAGTCGAATCATGGTATGAAAGACATTTTTGTGGAAAATTAAAAGAAGGTCCTTCATATTTATGGAAATTAATTGTAAAAAACAATTCGAGAAAATTGTTTTTAAATACTGAAAAACTTTCTATCAATATGATTTTCGAAATGGTTTCAATCACTCCATTAATTAAATGCCTTTGGCAAAGTTGGAACAATTTTATAAAAACAAATTCAGAGATGATGTATATGTATCAAATTACCCAAGAATTCAACAAAGCAGCAACGTTATTTTCTTCTGGTAATCTTGAAATATCAGCAGCTTTGTTATGGAGACTAATCCATGTTGGAAAAATTACAACTACGCTAAAATTTAAGTCATTGATAATGTTTATTGATAGCATTGTATTAATCAATAGCTCCCATCTTTTGATCAAATTTTAATAACAAGATTGTGTATAATAATTATTCAGACCATGTATGCTATTGAGCTATGCGCAATTGGTCTGAATCCGATCCTCGACATCAATGCGGCTGCAAAAATCAGCCCCCATTTTTTGATCATAAAGTATGTTTTGATGTATAAAGATTTTCAGACTATGTCGAAATTTTCAAATACATAGTGCTTTTCATTTTTCTCAAACATTTTGTTTATCTGTGATCGTCTTCTAAAGAGGTTCCACACTGTCCACCACTTTTCTGTAAAAGTATTTAGTTTTGCTCAACATCTTATTTCATATGTCAAGTTTAATAATATAAACATAGCAAACATAAGAATTACAGTCAAGATTTAACAAATAACAGTCAATTTACCTAAATTAATATAGTCATTTGGAATGGTACGTAGCGAATGCCTTTGCTTGTGGCCTTCTAAAAACGCTTCATAGCCCCTCGATTTGGGCTAAAGGCCCAGTTTCTGAAACCTCGTTCTAAACAATTAATATTGTATGTCTTCGTACTTTAAAACTAAGTACTACATTATGCATGTATTAATAAATTTGTATGTTTTTATTTCTCATTCCAAGTCTTCATTATAAACTTAAATTTTTTTTGTAATATTTCTAATGAGCCTCAAAGATTTTTTATTCTGTTATGGTGCGTGTAAAGACATTTTGCTTAACATAATTGAAAAAAATATTGCCTCTTATAAAATCCTCGTTATTATTTTATGTTGTTGCTTAATTCCTCATTCCAACCAGCCTATATTCAGAATAATCAAGTCTTCATTATAATCTTCAATTTTTTTTTGTAATATTTTTCTAATGAGCCTCAAAAAGATTTTCATTGTGTTTGTTGTTTGGCATAATTTTATATTATGGTGTAAAAATATATTGCTCAACGTATTTGCAAAAAATATGTTGAATCTCTTATTGAATCTTCGTTATTATTCTATGTTGTTGATTAATTTTATTGCCATATTTTTCCACGAACTCTCGTTCATACTTTCCACTGATTCATGAAATTTAAACTGTGATTGAAATGTAATATATTTGATAATTTCCATTTATAGTTAGACCTAGTTTTTTTTAATTCAATATAATCAAGATGTTGGAAGCAGCGTCCCAGGCACTAGATGCTCTGAAAAATAGTTTTCCGTTTGCTTTTTTTGCTTTCGTTCCATTGGTCTTCATTGTCGTATCTCCGTCCGCCGTGAATGCAGCACATGAGTTTACAGTTTATCGGATGCAACAGTATGATTTACAAAGCAAATCATATGGTAATGTCAATTTCCTGATATATTTTAGTAATATTAAGACTTTGGCGTTATTGGAGTATAATAATAACTTAGCAGTTAGTGTTGAGGAGGCAAATTGACATAACTCAACTTGGGTTGTACCAAAGTTGCCATTTATCAAAAACTCTGAAGTTACTCAATGGAAGTAAGACACTCAGTACCATACTCTGTATCTCAACTAAACAACAAGACCCAATCAATTATTTTCAAAAAATCAAAATCACAGTATAGTTACTTCTTAATAAAAAGTTTTTGTATTATCAGGTTGTCGCAACTCATTAGTAAATATGGAAGCAAGAACCCTTTCATCAGGAAATTCACTTGCAAGGAAATGTGTTGTCGTACATGCTCGAGATATGACATACGAACGATATATGGAAGCTGTAGAAAGGGCAATGGGGGCATTGCTAATAGTATTGCCACAAAATGGTACAACAGAAGACATGAAGGTTTGCTCGGACTTTTTTACAATATTTATGCCTTTTCACCTTGTATAAGAAGCAACTGATACATATCTACAGTAGCGCAGCCAGGAGGGGTTTTCGGGGTCGAAAACTGAGAAAATGTCGTCAAAAACGTGTACGATTGCATTTTGCTAAATCACAGATTGTTTTTGTCAGCGTGACGTATTATTTAGGCTGTGAACACTTTAACTTTGGTGTTTATTCTACCTAAATCACAAATTTCCACAAATTGTGAATCTCAAAATTTAATGTGGGCATTGCCTACCCAATTTATTACGACCTAGGTGGGGTGGTGTACGTGGGATTTGAACCCGAGGTGTTGTCTACACTTAACCTCTAATTGGTTCGCATAGTTTATTCCTTAAAATTTACTTTTGTTTGAATTATTAAACTATAAGATGATATAAAATGTTATGAGTAAGGCCACCTTTTTGGGCTCTTTAGAAGTGTGTGTACCAATATGGAGGTAACTAATTTTGTTCGCCTACTTTACATCAAGTTGTGCAAAGGGACTGAAACCTCTAGGCAGGGGGTATATTCACTTGGCTAACACAGACAGTCCCCGAACTCGTAATAGATTTAAAATAGGAAAAAACGAAATAAAATTATGGCCTGACCATAAACTGGTACACACACTACGGGAGAACCCATTTTTGACATATTACATACAAATTGTACTCTATATTACTTGATCTCTTTAGCATTTTATGGCATTGGAAAAAGAACTTTTAGAAGAGCAGACAAACGTTCCAATATATTTTGCTCACGAAGATGAAAATTTGGACAGTTTGATGTATGATGTGAGTAGAATTTGTTGTTCATAATTTGTACATTTTTAATTCAATGTTTCAAGTATTGCTGAAAAATCATTTCTAAACGGAGAACAGCTTTGAATATACTCACTTATAAGCAGAATATGTTATTAGAATGTGTTTCACATGTCAATCTATTGAACAGGGCTTCTCAAATAGGGCCCTCGGAGGCCATGTAGCGGTTCAATGCGGACCACAAGTGAAGGCTTACAATGGGTATTATTCGCGAGGACTACATTAATAAAAAGTGCTTACTCCCATTAGTGCACTCCCAAAAGTGCTGACTCCGATGACCTTATGGTCGTATCGCTCCCCCCAGTCTATACCGAATTAACTTTGTGTATATTGTATATATTATTTTGTATACCATTGTTCGTTTACGGTTGACAAAACAATAAATCTCTCTCTCTCTCATTATTGTCTTATAATTATCCCTTCTCCAGTTTGCTATTCATTTTGTTTTATAAACGTCCTTCTATATATTAGGTTCAGAAATCAACTTCTGATGATGCAGAGAGTGCATTGGAAGCTCTTCTTAACTCCGCAACGTCAGTTGGTTACCAGCTTGTAACCAGTGGAGGACAAAGCAAACCTCAGTTTGATCATAGCATTGTTAATATTCAGGTAAATTGATTTAAATTTTAAAATTTGTTAGAATGTCTGACACCACATGGAATGACTCCCAATGCTGCCTAAATGGGGCGTTCTATAATCCCAATTTTTGTCTTTAGATGTTAATTTTTAATATTTTTTTTTCAGGGATATTTACCGGGGTTAGGAAAGGAAGATCAACTTCCTACTATAGCAATTGTTGCACACTATGATTCTTATGGAATTGCACCGGTAAGCAATAAAAATTTGCATGAAGTTGCAAGCATGGTAAATCCCACAGATGTACAAAGATAAAATAATACACTAATGTTATTTTCACTGCATGTGTGGTTATATACAATTTATGTTCGGTTCATATATGATTACTCATATCTTTTGTTTGTTTTGGTAATGACTAATGATAAATTGTTTGTTTTTAGTATTTGTCATATGGAGCAAATTCTGATGCATCTGGTGTGGTAGCTGTTATTGAACTGTCGAGAATACTGAGTAAATTATACAGTAATTTGAGAACCCATCCCAAGTAAGTTATCTTACATAGTAGCAGTAGGATTTGAGTTGGAAATTGGAAACTAACATTCATACCAACTTCAGTAAATGTGTGAATATTTCTCTCTCATCCCCAGATAGTTCTGGTATTTTTTGTATTGAACTGTATCGAGCTTGGCCGCACTTTATTATGCGGGATTGACTGATTTTTATATTTGATTATTGACTTATTGATCAATAGTTATTAATTATTGTTGTTCTTCTGCTCTGGGAAAAAAATTCCTCTCTGGTTGGGAAAATTTTTTCGTTGCAGCTAAGTCGAATTTTAATGAGAAACAGCTAATTTTTTGAAATGAAAATATTTAGTCTTCTATATGGTGACCCAAAGAAAAACAACACCCATAAATTTCTTAATTAGCGTACTTCTACGAAAATGATGAAAATTTATTTTAAACTTGAACTTCGTTTGTGTACGATTATACGCAAAAAAATCAGTAATCTAGTATGCTATGCGCAAAAGTTATGTTTTCTTAAGAATATGTTCCAAATAAACTAGGTCCTATATTTAGGTCAACCTGTGTGATATTTATCCCGCATTTCATAGAAGCTATAAAGTCCCATATGCTAGTTATCTATTGTTTTACACTTTTAAACCGAACAATATTTTTATGAACAATGACATAGACATGGTGGCGAGGTACTGATTTTATTGTCACCCCGATGGATGAATATTTGAATAATTTTATTTTAAACATTTCAGGCACAATATACTGTTTCTTCTCTCTGGTGGTGGGAAGTTTAATTATCAAGGCACTAAGCGCTGGATTGAAGATGCTTTAGATAACCCTACTGCTGGATCGGAAACTATATCCAACCTTCTTTCTAACGTAAACGTAGTTCTCTGTCTCGATTCTCTCGCTAGCAAAGCAGGTCATCTTCATATGCATGTATCCAAACCACCTAAAGATGGATCACACACCCATGACATGTACACACAAATAGAAAAGGTTTGTTTTTCACATTCTTAGTAGAAATGGTGATGTAATGGCATATTACCAAAGTAGTACGGCTGTAATAAATCGAATTCCAGAACTGAATTGAATATCTCACAAAATTGATTCAGTACATTATTATGCATAATATTTAATGTGTGGTTGGATTGATTTTCAAGTTATATATATAGTTTTTCACACTATCATTCCGAATAATACTTCCAGCAAACAACGTTTACATAACAATCTACTATTTTTGTAATGGCTGGAATTTTTTCAGTTCAACATTGCCCACTCAAATCGTAAACAAGGGTAACGAGTTGGAGAATCGAATGAGACATGTCCAACTTTTGACCTCAATATTATTGACCAGCGTGCCCACTACATTCTTTATTGAAAATTCAGAACTATGGATTTAGCTATGTTGGATAAATTTGTTTTCTACCATTTGCAGATGGTAGCCTGTTTATATATTTTGACTTAAATTAATCTGTGCTCTCAATATGTCGTTCCCCTTAGTACTACAAAATCTAAAACTAAGTTCAAATTCAACCACATATATCCCTTTCTTGAATGACTATGCATAAACATAGCGTGTCAAAAAATATCATGCAGATTCCAACGAAGCAAACTTATTCCATATTATATTTGATTTAGTTTATAGTCAATATTGCATATCATGTTACTCATTTCACACTAGTATACAGTTGTTATGTAGTAACCCATTGTAAGGTGGGATCATAATCTGAATGCTTGATTGTAAACTAAGGTTGTATAAGTTAGTCGCCACAGTAAAATGAAATCCCACAAACAGTTATTTGGTTCACCCTTTATGTAACCCTTTTCTGTTAATGAGAGACCTTTTAAATTACAACTGAATCGTTAGAATTTGCTTGATCATCAACTATTCTATTTTTATTTAGGCTTCTGCCCTTGAACATGCAACCAACACTACCTTGATACACAAGAAAATTCGATTGTCTGCTGACACTCTCGCTTGGGAACATGAACGATATTCAATCAGGCGTCTTCCTGCTGTCACATTGTCATCTCTGGAATCTTTTGATGTAAGAAATTTTGTTAAATCAAAGGTTGACAGTTAACATTATATCGAGGGATGGTCAAAATTAAATAATTCACTATCCTGGCAAAATATTTTCGAATATGAAAAATAGAATATAGTCAATATTAGATCATTATCAACAGAAAATATTGCAATTTTTAAATATATAAAAATTACATTTCAATACTGCGGAATAGCTGAGATAAACATTATTTTTAATTGATTATATCTTCATTTTTGACCAAAAAAGAATGTTTTTTGTGTGATTCAGAGACCAAAGTTATAATTATTACTTTTTCTATTTACAGGAGACAGCTAGGTTTTCAGTTATGGATCAACGTGGCACTGTAAATGACGATACACTGATGCAAAACATTCGAATCATTAACGAAGCCGTGTTGAGATATATTTACAATGTTCCTACTGTAAGTGAATTTTCTACTTGGTTGATCATACTGGGGCATTTGATAAGTCAAACTTCAGTTTGACTTATCAAATGCCCATGTATGATCAAACAAGTAGGTGCTTGATATTGTGGAATATTTTTTATTTCGTTATAGGAAGGAAGTAGGCTAATTTCCTCATCCTAATGATAGTATCTCGCTGTTGTATTACTAACATGTAGTTGAGTAAAAAGTTTGCTATTGGTATATTCCCCAAATTCATGTATGATCTTCTTGATATGTAGGCTTTTATCTAAGCCATTAAAAAATCGACTTCGGCTACGGACTTCTGAAAAAATCTACTTAGAAGTCTGAAATTAGGGGATGGAGTACATTAATATTAAAACTGGCCCACTCAGAAAAGTAGTTGCCCACCCCTGATATATATAGTTACACTAATTTTTTTATTCAGGATAATGAAGATCGAATATCCCATGGTGATTATGAAGTACATAATGAATATGTTTCAACCTGGTTAGATTATCTTGCTTCACAACCAAGACCCGAGCAAGTAAGATATATTTATTTTTTTTTTAAATATAACTTTGTGTTATAATATTGCTGTTACATGACTATGAATGTGGAATTTTGATAAATGGAAAATTTGGACTTTTATTTGTATATAATTGTATCCAAAAGTTTCGTTATTCAAGGACGCTTAGCACAAAAGTTATGTTTTCTGTAGAATATGTTCTAAATGACATGGGTACCCTTCTGGGGATCACCCTGTACTCACTCCAGTATTCTAATCGTGAAATCTTAGATTTCTCTAGCTAGTTGAAAGTTTATTTTCTTTGGGGCAAATATTTTCGCTCTCTAATTTTTTGTCAATTTTTTAGGACATGCATGAGAAGCATCCTGTTGTTACATCGTTAGAATCTGTCTTTCAAAAACATTTGAAAAATGTACAAAAAGTCTCGTTCAAGGCAGATAAAAGGTAATTTATTGTGAAATATTACTAAGCACAATTTAAATTGAAGTTTTACAAGGCTTACAAGAATAGGTACTCACGTAGTGTGTATACCAGGTTAGGGTTAGGCCATAATTTTATTCCGATTTTCCTTTATTTTACTTCTATTACGAGTTCAGGAACTATCTGTGTTAGCCAAGTGAATATACCCCCCTGTCCATAGGTTTCAGTCCCTTCGCACAACTTGACATAAAGTAGTCGAACTACACACACTTCTGGAGCGCTCAAGAATAAGTAGAACACTTTGTTCAAATATTGACTAGTGGGCGTGGTGGCCACGCTAGAGCGCTAGACTTACGGTAACTCCTATGGCATCACAGCCATCACAAGGTAAAATCTTGGGTTCAAATTCCATGCACACGACATCGCCCAGGGCAGGGTTTCCCAAACTTTTTGGGCAGCGAACCCCTATTTGAGAATCCTAATTTTTACGGACCCCCACGCTTTGCCGTATCAATTTCAGTGCCTAACCGGACCCCAGTTTGGGAAACCCTGACCCAGGGTGTAATAAATTGTTTTTGTGGAAAGACAATAAATTGAACACTTTCCAAGGAAAATAAGAGCTGAAAAACATGATCAGTATATCAAGCTGTGATTGGAGATTTATTTTTATGAAATTCTATATATTTTGACACTCTATATTTTTTCGTTTCGCTTCTTAACATGTCACAGAATGATTTTTACCAGTAATACAATAATATTTAATTTGTTTGTTAACATTTTTTTTTGGAATATTATTTTCCGCAGTTATATTCAGTTTCATTACTCTTAATAAATTGTTTTGTCATGATAATGTGCATGTTTGATAATAAACATTTATTTGTAGGGATCCGGAATTCGTTTTGTACGATGGATTACAAAGACAAATGAGTGCTTCTATGGTGCGATCAGCTGTTTTTGATCTCTACCTCAGTGTAATCATTGCCTCATATGTCACCCTTGTCTTTTTCGCCATCTCGGTGAGTAATTTTTCGATCGTTAGATAATCTTCAATCAGATGATATGATCACTTTTGAAGTGTATATTTTTGATGTACCACAGACACAACACAGTATTGCACATCACAAATCTTACTGCTTAATTAAATAGCAGACTTGTGTCTGGCTTATAAGATGTTTTTATTATAACCAACAATATGCTACACATTTTGCACACAACAAAAAACTGAATTTGTCAGAAACCTTTCAAGTCTTTCAAATACTTTAAAACAGGGGTGTACAACCTGCGTCCTGCGGGCCAAACGCGGCCCACTGGGAAAAATTGTGCGAGGAATTCCAAAAGTGCGAGTAAAGCCCATACCTGGGTCCAATTTATTATCTATGTCTATGCTATGACATTACAATCTTCGTGTATGCAATTACTGTGTCTATGTTAAATAAATGAGCGGCATGCGGTTTCACTCAGTTATTTGTATCTGGCCCTCCAGTAGTAATATAGGTTGCACATCCCTGCTTCAATGTTTTTAATATTTGAAAAGCTTCAATTCAAAAATACAAAATAAAAATCACTATTTTTATCATTATATATTCATCATATATATGCTGACTTTCAGCTTATAATTTATGTAAAATGCAAAATCATTCTGAATGACTTGACCTGGTTCGATAGCTTGATCCTGTCATAAAAACTGTTTATAAAGCCTCTGCAAATATTTACTTCCTTGTTGTGTGTAAGCATATATTTTATATCCAATTCTTCCAAATGAGATGAATGTGTATTTATGGAACGATTTTCTTATAAAGTTTAGTTTGTTGCATTCGAATATCGTGGATTTCTAATTATTTAATTCTAAGTTTATTACATACAAGTCATTCTATTTTCAGAAATTCTCCGTTGTTCGAGGAATGGCAACAAAGCTGAGCAACTTTCAAAAGATAAAAACGTCATAAAATGCTGTAAAGTTTGACCAAATTGAACTTTTTAAAAGACTTATTTTCGTGAGTGCTATCGAGCTGACTAGAACAATTAGATTTGATCAAAATAGTATGACTCGTGACTATTTGTATGATAGATGACTCATGACTTTTTAAAGGATTGCTTCATCTGACATTCACCAGAAAAAAAAAGTCAATTTAATTCTTTTATTGTTACAAACCATGTTTAGAAAAAACTTGATAATGCATCTGCCGTACAAAGATATCTGACTTCATTAAAATGCAATCTCGTCCAAAGAATTTTTTGTGTTGTTATTATCCTGTCATAATTAATATTGCAAATATGATGTTCAAATCTTTCATTTTTTTTGTATCATTTTTTGTGCAAGTGGTATGAATTGATTTTTTTGCATTAATTTAATTTTGTTAATTGTTGAAATAAATTGGCTGCCGATTGATCAAAAAATGGTAAAATTTGTTGGGCGTTTTGGGGCAGAAAATATCTCTTACTAATATTAACAATAAGGTGTAATTGCGTCAGTGACACTGCATAATTGGGGTCAGAGGTCATATTTTACAACTATACAGGATCAACATTTATATCAGCCCAAATGAGAATCACATTAGTAAAATAAATTGTAATATATTTGCAGAGCCTTCGAAGAAGCTATAAAATTTTTATTTCATAAAAATTTAAGGAGGTATTAGGTATATATATATGAAACACAGCCTTGTGTGCTTTGTCAAAGTTTCATGCTTGGCCGGGCGTAAAATATTTAGCGAAATCAGCTGTATTCTCAACTGCTATTTTTATCTCCTCAATGTTTTCAAGAGGTGTTAGTAGCACTCGAAGTAGTTTATTTAGCTCGGCACAGGGAAAGAGCATTGTTCCTGTCTTTTGTTATTTGTGTTTACTCAACTTCTTGTCCTCTGAAAGAGCAATCGTCTGTCATCTTTGGCGGCGCTCGTCTGGGTGTAAAATATTTTCTTTTTATTCTATATTTGACAATTCTCTCTCGTCAATGTGTATTGTGTGAATGTGAAAATGACAACTGGTACATACAGGGTGATTGAGCGTAAATAGACCACATAGACTTCAAAGGAAACATAGAAAATGAGAAAAGGCGAATTTCAGATCCTGGTTTTGTGTTAGCTGATGAAATATAATTTATACAGAGATTTTTAGTTGGTGTGCTACTTATGTTAAATGAGTTATATAAATTTATTAAGGATAGAAATGCATTACCTTTATTTTCAATGATTATATTTTGTAATATAAATTTAATTATATAGATGGAACATTGGTCATCGATGAGCAATAAAACAATTTTTAGATGTTATATTGAAATGAAATAAACTTAAAAAATTGTATTCTCGTAGAATGAAAATGGGATCTTATATTTTCATTTATAAGTAATTTACCAGCAGGTTGATTATGTATTTTTAAATAATTTTTATATTAGTTGTAATGATTGTCACTAGTCTTCTTGGACTACTTTTTTGGTATGTAGGTTGCAATATTCACAAATCAAATAATGTCTTGAAACCTTTAAGAAGAAGTGTAGGTTTTTTGAAGGGTTTTGCACTTGTGGTATTTATTGGAAATATTTAATCGCATATATTTGTAGATTCTAGTCATTGTCCATTTTACTTAGATAATCTACATCTTCCAAATTATAATCCACTTAGCCCATAATATTTGCTCAGTATTTGAAATCTCCAGATAAGTTTAAAACTTCTCTGTGTATTTTTATGTTCTTTATACTACTTTGAAGTCTCAAACTTTTCTATTTCAAACATGGGCTGTATATAAATCACATCTTTTTAGGTTGCAGTAACTATTTTTAGTTATAGATAAGAAAAATATAATTTTGTTATAATTATGTTTCGGGTATTTTAGAATTTCTCCATAAATTTTTATTACTATGCGCTTTTTTGTATCCAAATTGACAAATTAATTGTTGGATCATTCAGTATTTGTCTCAAAGTATTTCACATGTCTCTCTCTAAGTCTTCAATTAAACATAAGGGTTCTGTAAACAGTCTGAGAGGTTATGTTAAGACTCTTGATTTAGATGATCGATCGGCAGGATTTCCTAATCTAGTGGGATTAAAATTGTGAATTTCAAGACTGTTGGTATGATTTTTGGTATTCGTAGTTCTCTTAGTTTCATATTTGATGCAAATATTTGAATTATGATACGCTATGTGTGTTTGAGACAAAATATTAGTATTAATTGTAAAATGCAATGTGCTTGCAAGTCTTTATTCTGACATTTAAACGTTTAAAAAATTCTGAAAACGAAAATCTATTTCTCTTTGAGTTTTATAAATAAGGCAGTTATAATCATTTTTTGTTGATTTATTTAAATTTTGGATTTTATGAAGTAGTAATCTGTGATAAAAAGTATAAACTTAAAAGCAGAAATGGCATGTCAAGTGTCACCTCGAATGCAGACAGGTACTTCAGTCTATAAAAATGATTTCAAAAAAAGAATTACTTCATCACCGTTACCAACAAGACCGCAAAATAGGCTGAGGAAGAACAGACCTCATCCTAACAAGGTAATGTTTTTTTTTATTGGTGATGAAAAATGATGAAAAATTTAATCCTCGACTATTGCCTATATATAATAGGATTTCCCTTTTGTATGAATTTTTCTAGTAACAATAGTGCTGATATATTTTGTAAATTGATGTCTCTATCCAAATAGAGTATCCTTTTTCGATACAAACACTAAACGTCTTTATGTCCTTGCTGAGCCGGTATTATAACACAATGGGATTAATGTTATGTCAACATCACATACATACTTATTCGTTTGTTGCCAAGACGATACTATTTATATTTTATCGAAGTAGTGTTCCTATACTAATAATAGGAAGTAGGATTTAGGATTGGCCACACTTCTAGTATCTGGATATATTAATTTTAGCTCTTTATTCATATTGCATGCTTGGTAGTTTGTAATATATACAACTAACAATTGAAAAAAGGGAACACTGCATTTAGTCGAGGGGGTCTGTCACGTTCAATAAATATCATATACAATAACACAATTACTCTTCGATCAAAAACTTCAATATGTTGTAAATATTGATTAAAGTATTTTCTTGCAGGACGCGAGTTGCCATAAACTTTCAGTGGGTTTTAGTGTGTATTGAAAAGTAGGTTTAGAATTTAAAGTGAGCCGAGAAATTTCTTAAAAAATGAATTATAGGAAAAAGTGTAATCAAATTTTCAGAATTTCAGATTACATAGACAAAAATCCAAATTTGATTAAATGTTGTGTACATAGTTTACTATTATTTATACTTGTGACACTTCACCTGAAACACTTTAATATATTAATCATTTTCTATAAAAAATGTATAAATACTATTGTAGGCATTTCTGTTCAAGGAGATGAACATAAACAATTGTAATAGGATATGGCCTAGTGGTTTAAACCTTAAAGCACCCTGAATAGGGGTGTAATAAATTGGGTAGACGATTGCGGACCCTCCAAAATATAATAGCTCCCCACATATCAGTGTAGAATCTTGTTCAGAGCGAAAGAAATTATTATAAAACTAAAATTATCAATATTATTGCAATTCTCGTTTTGTCTCATATTTTAGGATTTTCTTCTTCCATCACAAATTAACGATGGTATAGAATTACAAAAGAGAGTTCGTCGTGCAGTTCGAGAGTATCTGGATGAAATTTATTATCGTGAGGGCGATTCTAATTCATACTCACAAGCTCCTCCTCAGTTCATTCCTCCAAAAAATGACGAGGACCCAAGACCGAGAGAAATTTTGATGCCAAAAAGTGAGATTTGATAAATATTTTGACATGTGAATTTTGGATATTTTATCCATACTTGAAGGTTTTAATTGTTCTAGTATAAAAGATTTAATAATAATAACATGATCCCTTTCTGCGAAATAGCAAGAATATTTTTTCTCTTGTTCAGTTGGATCATAATTCAACTTTTTCAGATAAAACAAGAGACTAAGATAAATGCTCTGTGGCCCCCTTGGGTGCTGAGGACCCTCTATAAGAGTCTATAAGAAACCTTCTTTGCTCCAGACTGCCCAATATATTTTATTGTCAAATTACTCTTTCTTTCTATTATTTCATGGTAGACACTCGTGCATCGGGATTTTATCATTGTAATATTTCATATCATTTTTTCGAATTTTACTAAAATGCCAAGTTATATTAACGAAAATATTCATGTAATTATTTAAATATAACACAAAATTATTTTGCTGTAGTTGTTTGTATAAAATATCTTTCAATATTCTGATATTATCGGTGTTATTTTAGATCAGAATATATACCGTAAATATTTATTCGAGACGTAGCATGTTTTAATTTTTTGCAGCGAGCAACAAATTGTATCGATCATACTCACATTATCAGGATTCCTCTCCAAATTTCCAAGTTACCGGTAAGACAACTTCTTTCGCCGCTAGAGAACGGCCATCTACAGCTGTTGCAATTGAAAGATCTCCACCCGGTTATCTACAAGCAGAAAGCAAAAGAGATCGTAAGTTGAAGATAATTCCTAATTTTCGAAATTGTGAAGAGTTGAAGTTGGCCTGTCGGTAATTCCACTGGAAGCAGGGTTGTAAGACATTATTTCATGTTTTTGGAGAGTCTGCAATCCTCTTGCGCGGTATATCATACCATTGTATTGCACCTTGAGGTTGAGGTGATGGGCATAGAATTCGAACTTGAAATGTATGATACGCTAATCCTAGCTACCTCCCCTCGTCCTCTCTTGCTGCTATTAAAATAAAATATTTAAGAATATTTTGTAACGGAATAGAAACCGCTTTGGTATTGATCTCTGCTGCAGATGTGCATATCTTATATTTTGGCAATCCAGAATTCAAACACGCAATTCAATTTGCAAAATTATTGTTATAAATAAAGTGAATGTTCTAAATTTCATATGGTGTCTTTTAAAAACATACTATAAAACAGCAGTTATAATTGAATATTTATTTGATTTGACTTTGTTGCAAGTTCGTTTGCAATGTGCATTCTATGAGCACTCGAAATTAAAACGTACTTACCGGCACTCTCAGTTAAATGCCCTATTTGTCTTCCACTTATGTTTCACCTTGGCTCACTTGTCCCTTGCACTGTGTATTAAAAGTACTTCTCCGCCTCTTATGTATTGTTGTGCTGACAAAGAAAGGCTTCAGATACAAAAGACTTTAATATTATCTTCAGTTTATTTTAATTGGTTTGAAATTTGAGCCTCACCTTTTCAGGCTTATGAGGTCCTCAAGACGTTATAGAGAAATCAATGGTCATCCATTACAGTACTTATATTTTGAGAGTTGGTATACATACGTCGTTGACAGTGTTATTATGTCTTGAGAATAATGATGAAATGCATTGATTTTTTGTGGTGCTAAATGTATTGGGAGTACAGCAGTTCTATCATGAATCCCAGATATTTGAAGTTAAAAATTCGGTACTCCCGTAGACCATAGTATGTGTACCAGGTCAGGGTTAGGCTATAATTTTCCCTATTTTAGCTCTATTACGAGTTCAGGGACTGCCTGTGTTAGCCAAGTGAACACGCCTTGCCGATAGGTTTCAGTCCCTTTTACACAACTTGATGTTGAAATTAGTTACCTCCATATTGGTAAAAATACTTCTGGGGCGCCAAAAATCCAGTCAAATTGAGTTTTAAATCTGGACATTTTTATAGATTTTGAATAATTGAAAATTGAAATGACAGTTTCTAAAATTTATTAGTATTTTTCAGAAATGTGTCAAAAACGGTTCGATTTTCAACATTGTAAAAATATGTTCTGAAATAATTATTGATAGGATTAATTTTTCCTATTTATCTGAGGGGAGAGGAAAGTTGATAAGATGCTTTAATCATGTGGTTACCAGTCTATGTTGGGTATCAATTAGTTAAACCAATTGCCTGTTTCAAAAGCATGGACTTGAAAAATTTATGACTTTGAAAATATCTCGATTATGGTCATTGACAGTTTTAGATAAGTTCAGAATTATTATGTAAATACTCATTTTGCCAACATGAGTAATCACAATTCAATTTGAAGTATAGAGATGAGATATATATCTCAGAACATGTACTGGTGTAAAATCTCAGAACATGTACTCCCACAAACGACATTGGTCTAAATGTGTGAACCACAGGTTCTAGGTTAGTTATTGGTGAAGCTATGTCAGATCGTATTATTCTGTTTCAAATGATAATTTGTTCCCCTAATATGCGATGAAAATTTCTCTCAAATGGCAGAAGTTTTATAAACATAGTTCAGAAACATGGTATTTCACAAAGATAAACCAGACCTGATGGTCTGGAAGACTGTGCAAGGTCCACCTAAGTTATCCACTTTAATGATGAAAAAAGCTAGAAAGATGGCTGATACTGATTTTACATTACCACAAATAAGTAAGTTTTCTGCTATTCTCTGATTAACTACCTAATTAAACAATAAAGAAAATCAAAAGAATCAATATGTTTCAGGTTCTGTGAGAATAAGGCAAGAGGTTGAAGACAAACATAGAATTCAGACGGCGAGTCCTCAACCAAAAAAGTGGCAAAGAATAAGTTCTGCCGTTCCCACGCAGAAGAAATCACTTTGGACAAAGTAAGTAATTCTTAAAACATATACAATATCTTCTGGTTCCATCTTTCAGACTTATGCTGTTTAGATTAATATATCCTTGCATATAAGCCGACCCCACAAAAATGGCCCAAAAATGATAAATTTATAAAAAATTCTCATATAAGCCATGAACCCTACAAATTGTAACGAGTTTTAGCTGTCGGAAGTAAGTTAGCATAATGTCATTTCGTTTGAGTGCAATCAGAGTTATGCATGTATAAGCCAAATTTTGAGTGCGATAAGAGTTAAGCATGTATATGCCAACCCCTTAGTTAGTAACCCCTTAACTAGTAACGCGCACCTACTGAATTAGAAACAAACAATTACTGTATTATTAATTAATATTTCTTCTTGGGTTTTTGTATGGATTTCAGATTAAAATTAAATAATTACGGTAACTGATATTTGAATTAAAAATTTAAAACTGTGAATTTTGATTTAAGGGTCAAGCTTTATTTTACAGTCCGACTCATACAAAGCGAGCATTGTCTGCGCCACCTACTCAAGGATATTCATATTATAAACAATCTACTGGTAATAACAATACCAAAGCTATGTATAAACCAGTACAAGATAAACTCAGTGCTTGGGCAGAAACTGCAAATGATTATGGTGAGCTATGTTTTAATATAATTTTTCATGTCGATATGTGAAATCAGAAGAAGCAATTAATGATATATAGGTATTGGAAAGTACTATGTATTGTAATATTATACGAATAAAATGATGCATTGCATTTTTTTTATAAGCTGAATTTCTTTTATTCATACTAATCTGGGGTGTATAATCTCGATACAGGAGGGCCAGATACAAATAACTGAGTGAAACCGCAGGCCGCACCTCTATTTAGGCTCTCTAGTAATTGCAGCCTTGCAGGCACAAAAATTTTGGTTATTTATCTTATGACTAGGGGTGTAAGTTTCGAATAGTTTGTTTTCGAATCAAATTCCGAACCGGAATGTCTCGATTCAAATATTTCCGAATCTGATTCTATTTAGTATAACATCTCATTATTGTTAACTTCCTTTAAATTTGGAAGAACTATACCTCAAAGTGTGATAAAATATCAATAAAGAACTTGAAGAATGAGTCATGTTAATAGAAAAACACATTGAATGAATGCATCAACTACATAATATATTGAAAAAAAATATTTTTGTTACATAGAGAGAGGTACGCTCAGTTATATTTGCTTATCACATAAATTTATGTTCGCAACCAATACCGGATGTATAGTGATCGTTTCTTCCAAAATTAACCCTCATCCAAATGATAAACGCCAGTTAAACATGGGTTAGTACCGCTTGTGCCGTGATTTAAAAAAAAGCAAATGATAGCAAGGGAAAAATCGCAGACCTATATTTTTAATGAGGAATAATGTTGTTATTATAATGACGTTACATAGGTAATTGAAAAAAACGTTTATATAATGTCGTATTTGTAAAACTTCGTAACATATTAAATAGTCTAAAAAATTGAAAAAAAAAACATTGGTTCCTCTAAAGCTCTAACTCATATGGAATACTCGAAATGTTACGACTTGGGAACGCTGTAAACGTAGGGGAAATAAACGCTTTTGGTCGATGGTGAGACTTAGACTCTTGGCTGCACCGTGCAATCGCCGCATGTTATCTAAATTATCATTCATTTTAAAGTAGAATCAAGACGTTTTTTCCTAAATTGCTTCGATTCAATTCGAATTGAATTTGAATCGCTTTGATTCGAAATTCTGAAACTTACCGTACATCCCTACTTATGACATGCGTTGTTCGCTTTGCACAAGCTAGCTGGATTGGAATTACGCACGCGTACCAGACTCCTCTGTGCCAATTTTGAATGGTGAGTGAACCCCGCAACGAGTTATTAATTTAGTTCAGTCTGTTCGCTATATAAAAAAATGAAAAATATTCGATATTATTTTGTTTTTTTAGAGAAACAAGTTGTGTATAATCTGCTCAACAAAGCTGCAAAACCGAATGAGGGACCACCTACTACTCCACCCTCACCTCAGGAAGCTTACCATTTACTTATGAGAGCAAAAAGTGTTCCTGCTCATCAACAAATCCCTCAAGATGAGAAAATTGCACCATGGTCACCATACTTTAATAATTTGAGAAGACAACAAAATAAACAAAGGAATTTGAATAGTGCGCCGGTCAAAAAATTATACGGTCAGTTCGGTTTTCCTACGTCCATTTTCACCAATTAATATTTGTATACAGACTAAGATTATAATGCTCATAAAAATGGCATTTTTGTGACATCAGATTACTAATTTTGATTTTCTTTGTGAAGTCTCAGTTTTAAAAAAAAATTGACGGTCGAGAGGTTAAAGACTTATTTTGGCATCACATATTACACATCTCTGATAAAAATCTCATGCCACCCACAACCCACCCCACCCCAAGTGTAATAAATTGGGTAAGCTATGCTGAATCGGGTCTAGAAATGGTTAGGTTGAAAATCCAGGAGAGACGATTCTGTATGAATTACTGCAAGGCTTTTCGCTGGTGTAAGCTGGTTCACGTAACCACTTGTTGTGGCTTCTCTGTTGCAACGTATTGAAACTACGTGCCAATGTTGACCTCTAACCTCTTCTTGGATGTTTCCCTAGTAAATGCGCAACTTTTTTCTTAGGTCTTGTTCCGAATGCTACTCAATATCCTCCTCGAGACCAGAGAATATATCGATTACCAGGACAAGATATGAGAGTTCCTGGAAATCCAGCAGATGAAAAAGAATTGAAAGAATATTTGAGCAAAATAGCTAAGTAAATGATTTTAACCTACTTTTTTCACTTTCATTGTTATCAACCATGATTTTCTGATTTTTATGTAAGATTTCTAAACAATTTTCTGTCAAACCTAACTATATGGCCTCCAACAGGGTGACTCAAAAACAATGGAGGCAACCAGAAAAGAAGTATCTAATAGCTCCAATGCATAGTTATCCAAATACGCAAGGAACTAAGGATAAAGACTATAAGGTGACGTATGATCAAAAACAACCATTGAATAAAATGTATAAATAAATTACCTGCTATTCTAGTAACTTTGAAATACAATGCCTATTGATTGTCAGTTTTTTTTTCAGTTTATTATAGTAAAGTGCAAGACGCTGTAGCAACATGGTTTCCCCTGAACCAACTATACTGGATAAAATCAATTTTTTAGCTAGCAATCAGTTCTGACATATTTTTATCCTGCATTGTATTCGGGAAGACCTATGAAATCAATTCTTTGCTCAATAGATGAACTTTGTGATTCTTTTTTATTTACCATTAAAATTCAAATCGTTCTGTTCAATTGCCCATATTTTTCATATTTTACGCTGCTTAAATTTTGCTATATTTTCAAAAGTAGAATCTAAATTTATTTTCCTAAACTCCTTTTATTTCTGTATATCATGCGTAAAAAATAAATAGTATAAAAGTATTTTTCTTCTTCTTTAGTGCGATGTCAGTTTCTTCCAGTCTGTACGTGCTCCATTCAAAAGTCATTTCATTATTCATCCAGATTTTACTTCAGAAAATTTTATTCAAAAGAAAAGAGCTGATCAAATGGTTTCACACATTCGCTATTAAAAATTTAGATAATTTAGAATAAGAGTTCAAAAAATTGTTTCAATTTGAAGATTCTGAGGAGAATACAAATAAAAAAATCTTACGGTAAACTTGATTCCACTCGAAGATATGTTTATGATGTCACACTCCATTATTTACAACTTTTCTAATTGAATCGGTATCTTTTTATCTTATAAAAGCAATTTTGAATTGCAAGTTGTTGCAAAAAATTTTTGAGGTTTTCCCAACTAGCTTAGTTGTCACTGTATCATTATTGTATTAACACATTATATTTGAATTACTGTAGACAACAACACAATAAATGCACTTTGCACTTTTTTTATTTCTTTTTTTACCATCTCATTTTATTATTTTTCTTCTTAGCTTGTTAATTTGTGTATAGTGCCAAAAAATCTGTTAAGACATTTATGTGCACCATCAGCTTAGTCTTGTTCTTCACATTCTCATGGGAAATATTCCTATTTTCTCTTACTTATAGATTTTAGAATGTTTTCTCATATTTACTTTTTTATTTTTTGCCCTTCGATTTTTTTTTAAATTTCTGTAAACTTCCTGCTGTAATTTTGACGTAATTAAAATGAGATTCGAATGACTTGATATTATTGCTGTTACTAAGGGGTGTAGTCTGCATATGTTTTTGTAACTTAGACACAACCAGTGAATCACTTATGAATTTAATGGTTGGGCGTGTAGTGGCGGAACTACAAACTAATCTCTGAACATAATTTGTCAATGATCGACGTCTCGCACGCATAGAGCAGCTAGTGGAAGTCGATTGGATAAGAGCCAATACTTCAACTATCAGTGAATAGTACGTAGAATACGAATTATCCTGTGGGAGAGGAAAGTCGATAAGACAGCATAATCATATGGCGAACCACGTCCTCTCGTCCGGCCACCAGTCCATGTCACAGTCAAGTTTTTTTCCCCCATTCAGTAAAAAATAAGATACGAAATCAACAAAATACAAAACTGAAAACACATTTACTGGCAAAGGGAAGTAGCGGGGAACCAGGAATGGTCATCAAGCAGCGACACCATGTCGGGTATGAAAATTGTTAACCCACTGTTTGATCCAGATTTATGGACTCGAATGAATTATACATTCAACGCAACATGTATTGGGGATATGGACGAAATAACCTAATTCCAATACGTTTCCGTTGAGTTAGGAAAGCCCGCCCAAACATTTGTAATCTGAGAGAGATTTTAGGATATGATTGTATTCAATGACACATTTTCATCAACACCACGCGACGGAGCTCAGATTTGATGTTTTCAACTATAATTATCTGTCAAATCAAGAGGCAAAAAGCCTTCTCAGCTCGGCCACAATATTTATTGTATAAATCTCAAAACGTCTATCCTTCCTCTGTGTTGGTTTTCGTTTTTCACAAAGATACTATAGCAAGAATTGAAAGGATTATATTAACTTCACTGCACATTGACGCATATATAATTATTCCTCTTATTTTATGATGGGTTAGCATGGACTTACTTAAGCCTAGTGAAAAATTAATTAAAACCAAATAAAACTTACTTATAAATGATATATGCACTTATTATCTTGAGTGAATTGTCAATTCGATAAGTTACTAAATTAAACTCGGAATTCCATAGAATGAGACAATACGAGTTTATGATGAATGGCGAATTGCATAACGCATTTGATATGAAATTTCCAATTTCGGTAACAGCCATGGGACCAGGGACAATAGTGGTCGCTGTAGGTAAAAGCATTAGTAAGAGTGATTATGCATGACTCATGCAGCATGAGGGACAGTGTATTGTTGACTCTCGACAGACGCTACTCAGCAGGGTATTTACTGGAATATATTATACCAGTCATTCTGTGTGATATGTTTTAGCGTTTTTCTTTTTAAGTTAAGTTTTTGTCATCTCAAAATCCTTTCGACTAGTTTTTCTCTTCAGAATCCCAAGATTAAATAAATTGGGAGATTTTAACAAGGCAATTTTCGGTTTTATCTTTTATCTGACATTTTTACTGACAGTCATGCACGTGGATACCCGATTAATTATAGAGGGAATTAAACCACATATATACTCGGTTCTGTAATTTTAGCGACGTCGGAGAAGGACTTTAACGAAGGATTCATGGTCCTTACACTTCGATATATGATTCAGTTTTCCATTTGTGTTTTGGTATAGAGTATATATAAGTTGATTACCACCGTAGTATGTGTACCGGGTTAGGATTACCAGGGTGGTCCAAACCCAGGCCCAGGCTTCATTATCTATGGCCTGCGTCGCCCATGCGGGAGGGTAAACAAAAAATTGAACAAAACAAAATTTGGTGTTGTTTCGTCATAAAAATAACCAGAAAAATCGTTTGACATATTGTTATGTTACATCACTAATGTCACTGAATTGACTAGTGTTATGGCTAGCTGAGGCAACCAGCGAAGTTGAATAATGCGCTTGGCTAATCTGAATTGTTGGCTTTCTCGCTTTTGTGTCAGGAATATATGCTAACAAAATAGACTTAAATAAATAACTGAAAATCGAATGAGGAATCTATTAGCCTTGGTTGGCTATGCCTGATAACTAAATATTAATGTTATGGCTGAACAATATAATTCCTGCTGGGTGGTTTTTTCGCAATCAGCCCAAATAGTGTTACAAAAAATGCTGCTTTTAGGCTATGTCAGAAAATTTAGTTAATAACCCTCCTGTATCTCAAATTTGTAAAATTCGGTATTCAATCAATCTGCAGTTATTTATAAGTTACGCTCCTGTGGCCCGCGAACACATCAAAAATGATAGTATGGCCTGCGAGGCCATCAACGCTGGACCACCCTGGGTTCGACCATACTTTTATTCCGATTAACCTTATTTTATTTCTATTACCAGTTCGGGGACTATCTGTGTTAGCCAAGTGAATATACCCCTGCCCATAGCAAGGCTTCCGTCCCTTTGCACAACTTGATGGTAAGTGGGCGAACAAAATTAGTTACCTCTACATTGGTACACACTTCTGTAATATATTCGTTTCTGACTTTACATTTTTTTGTAGTGCCGGGGGGCGATGAAGTTGTATAAGCTACTGTAGGGGGGCGATGGTCAAAAAAGTTTGGGAACCACTGTTCTAGCGTATGGCATTTTATAAACTATTGGTTGCGTGTACAATATAAGATGGAGCCTGCATGAGTTGTAACATGAGCATCTGTGGCATTTACATTTTCCTCATTTTCGACTTGTATTTCCAAATCTCTTGACTTCCAAATTTCGTACCCACCTGTCAGCAGAAATTAACCGAAATATCTGCATTCTCTTATCCCTTCATTTTTAGTGGATAAATCTCTGGGAATAGTACGTAGATTAATTACAAAAAGCAGAGCCAAGACTATCCCGCTAATCATCTGACATTATGCACTTTTGAAAGATGAATCTACAGTGCATCCACCACGCAGTGGACGCGTAGACAGGCCGCGAGACCTTCAATTCGCTTCAAGGTCGCAAGCGCCTGGTGCCGCCAATGCGCACTCTATAGCAGCATACACCTCGATGGTCATATAAACGTAGCAAAGGCTGCCAGTTAACCATAGGGATGGCGGAATAGAGTCTGGATTCGATTACAGAATCGATTCTTTGCGGAATCGACTAGAATCGATTTCGATGCACTGGAATCGATTCTCGAGTTCAAAACTTTGATTGCAAACAATATGCAACGTTTTGTGGCAATTCCTTTACATATATATATGTATAAACTGCTTCACTGCTATGTTTAGTTGCTACGATGCCGCAAACTTCACTATATATAATACACCGTATATATATATATTTTGTTTTTTGCCAGAAGGCTTTAACGTTTTTTATTTTAAAAATATCTATGGGTTCTGAGGTATTCGTTTTTATTGTGTGATTTTGTCTCCCGTGAAAGATTGGATACTCATATTACTTAATTTCGGCCTCCTTTTCCGTCCAGAATTTGAATATCGTGCTCTTGTTTGATTTCGTATGGTATTGCTTAGGTGGGTATGTTTTTCCGGTAAGATATGTCGAGGAATCGAGATTCGGAATTGGATAAGAATCGAATACTTGTAAGTACTCATACTTGACATCCTTAATGGTAAGCCTATATCAGCCCCTTGACGTAGTATATTGTTAATGCTGAATATATTTTGCTCTTTATAACTAACAAGAGAGCTATGTTTAAATATATGGACACAAAATCCATAACGAAATGTTTTACCATCATTTCCCCCAAATCATACGGTTTTCGTGTCCCATGAAAAATACAGATGTATGCTATCCCATCCCATGTGACGTTTCCCCATTTGATTCCCATGGACAAGCCTGTAGATTCACCATATTCACATACGCTAATATTCGTGATAAAAAACAGTTGGTCCACCCAACAACAACAATACATACATACAACGTCATATTTTATACAGTAGTTTTCCTCTGAAAAAATCGGTTGAACAGAAAATATTTTACATTGTTAAACGCAAGTTAACTGTTCTCTTTCGCATTTAAAAAAATTCCCACATACAAAGACAAAGGAAAAATGTCTTAAACACAAACACGTCAAAGTGATATATAAATTACTGTCAACGTGTGAATGGCCAAAATCAATAGAGTAGTATCTCACAGTGGGTTCTTGACTGTTCTTTTCACTTGCGTGTGACATTTTAGTCGTAATACACATTTTTCGTCATATTTTAGTTTGGTTATGACAAAAATTTAAGAATAATACGAGTCCGTATTTTTCACTGTATAATTTGTATTTCTACGGCTCTTGCGTTTATGTCAACGGCATGTATTATCATAATTAATCCAAGTTAACGCTCGATTTGGGATATCATAGTAATTTTTCATATATATTCGTGGTATATCACAAGTTTGAAACCCGATTACAGAGTATCTTATTGTGTTTTACTAATATTCTTGGTAAAAAAATGAGTGGTACTTTTATGCCTCATGTTTCCGTGTGTGTGTATGTTTGTTTTATTTAGCCTATATGTATATTTTGTATACTAACTGTATATTTTGTTGGTGATTTTAAATAACTCATTAAACTTTTCGGTGCTCCTGAAGTATGCGCACCAAGATGTCACATAACCTGAACCCTAACCAGGTACACAGCCTGAGTTCAGGTTGTGCGCCATCTTGGTACGCATACTTCAGGAGGTCCAACTTCGAATGCTTTGACGTAACACGTTTTTCGCGTTGTTTACTTTTATCTCCGAAACGAGAGATGTTTGATTCGTGTATTTCTGAAAATGAGTATTAAAAATAGTGCAATAGTGCAAATAAATAGACACGAAGATCGGATGGCCCTAGCAATTCACCTCAGACCGCAGCTGAGCATTGATCACCGCTTTGCCTGGAATATGTCGGTCTGGCCGAACGTGTGTCACGTGGTGGCGCAATATTGTAAGAAAATCAAAATTTTGTGTTCAACATCGAGCACGAATGGCACTCCGAACAAGTATTAGACTTCTAAACTCTTCTTCTAAGTTTTCTATCCTTCAAAAACAACTAATCCATTAGTTTTGGAGAATAGCAATACCAACGAGTTAGCAAAAACATCCACAT